TGCATTATCAAACACAACTCTAGTATGTATTCCTATCACAATGCTGATGTTACAACTAGTCTTTACATCTTAACACTCTCCCACCTTCAAAGTTGCACAAGCAAAAAGCCTGGGACAGAGATAACAGTGCTCATGCAGAGTGGATATGAACACAATGATTATCCCTTTGTCTTGGCTCTGTGCAAATGTAAATGGCCACAGCCACTGAGGGGTTGCCATTTGTTATCAAAAGGTTATTGGGTTAAACACCAACTCTGGGCATGGGGCAAAATAATTTGCAACAGCACATCTCCTCCCCCACATATGCATAATATAGTGCTCACTTTGTCCAGAGTTTTGTAAGAGAAATGAATACTTGCCTTATACCTCAGTCCTACGGCAACTGGTGTTCCTATATTCTCTCTCGGCCCACAATGTAGCCAGTTCCTTGCATGTGTATGCTTTCTAATGTGATGATTTAATTGAGGGGGCGGTCACATGACTGGCAAAGAGGAGGGGCTTTAGGGGACCATTTGTATGGGTGGGATGAAGCCTTCAGTAAGGTAAGTGCTGCACTCTTTTAGAGCCTCCTTAGACCAAATGGGCAGTCTATTCAGTATTTGTTGGGAGGTGGATGGAAGGACTATCATGATAAAATTCCCACTTTAAAGTGGATGAGAGCACTTAAAAGTCTGAGATGAGTTAGACCATAGCAAGAAACTATGGCAGGTAGGTTTTAAAAGCAGCATCCCCAAGAAGCCAATGGCTAAGATTGCCCTGCCAAATTCCACCTACAGGATTGATTTTTATATAGATTTTTGAGAAATTTAAGTTTAATATTTAACATTGTCTAAACCTGACCAGTAACTGCAATGTACACATTTGCATATCATGAACAACAAAGGATTTGGCACACAATTTGCTTTAAACATAGGTCAAAAAAAGGTATTCCGACATACAGAATTTCATACTGAAAGCAGGCAGCCAGAAACAAAGGTTGTTCAGGAAATATGGCTGCCCGAAGTCAAGACTGTGCAGTTTGTGTGTGTGAGAAATAGGGGAGGTCATATGGTTGAATTTGGGAAGAGCAAAGGGAAGGAAAGGAATGGCTAGGATGGGGAAAAAGGGTAGAGAGAAAGGTGGGGGGTATTGGTAACCTCTCCCAGCGTTTAAGGAATTTATCAGGGTGCTAGCTATATGCAGCCTCAAGGAGTCCCTTTCACAGGTTGGCGGGAATAAGCAACCCATCCATGAGGACTAGGTGTTGTTGGATGGGCACAATGGTAAGGCCCTAAAGATCCTGGTAAGGACTAAGTACCATCTCAATAATAGTTTATAATAGTTTTCTAGATCCAACGCCATGCTGGAACATTAAGAAGAAGCCCAGATTTGGTCCCAGTTCTCAGTAGTCACTGCATTCCTCAGGCTCTTCTCCCATTTGGCAACATAAGGGGGTGGAGAAAATGGAAGGCTTGCTGTTGTTAAGAGTACAAGGAAATAATACCTAGGCCATGAGGATCAGAAGTGCAGAATAACTCGAGGTGTTTTCTGAGTTAAGTCTGTAATTTATACCTTTGTAAAGAGCATAGATAATGTTTAACATGGAGATATTGTAAAATCCCTTCCAGTGTGAGGCGGTGATCCTATTAGAGTGTTGAGAACAGTTTAATACCAGTGGTGTTTGATAGTCGAGAGCCTATAGCTTTGCAAGATCTGCTCCTATTGCAGAAGGCAGCTGGATTTGTGAATCCAGAAGCAAACAGGGTTTTCTACAGAATACATTTGAACTTTGCAGCAACCCTTTAGGGTTGCTCTATCTGAATGCAAAAAGGAAACTTGCATAATAGTATCTTAACTAGGTATTTGGGATTGCCATATAATCAGGAAGGATTGTTAGCGCAATATTGTAGCACGCATTGAAAACTTTTTGTTTTGTTTTTCCTTTGGTTCAGCTTGCGTTTCCAAATGCAGGAAAAGGTTTTTTCAAATATGTATTTTTTCTGCATAAACAAACGCAGTATACAACCTGGTGGACAAACAAACGGTACTTCTTCTAGTTGCTTTACACATTATACCCCCTATATCCACAAGTATCACAGTGTCATATAACAAATTAAGTTTAATGAACACAGCATGGTTGCTGGAATAAATGTACATTTCCCACCTACCAGAGAAGAGTAATTCTTAGGTGTCTATGGGACATGCCAAGGACAGCTTCTGTTGTTTCACAAACCAGTTCAAATTACAGAATAAAACTGCCTCGTGCCGTATGGTAACTGAAGTGAATAGTTCATAGAAGCACCATGAAATTTTAGACTTTAACATAACCGCCTTGTGGGCTGAGACCCTTAATAGGCCATCTTTGTGGATGTTTGTGTTCCTTACCACTGCCACACACTGAAAGAATAATGATAGGGCAGAGGTTTCTAATCCGACCGCAGTATGAAATTTGGCAGTGTAAACAATGTGAGCGTGAGGCACAGTCAGGCCTAGAGCTAGATGCAAGCCTGTATTCCATCCTTCTCTGCTCACATTCTTCCTGATATTGCTCTGGTCACCAAGTGTTCTTCTATTCCTTTCATTAGAACATAGTGCCATCCTTTGCATGTCCTGAAATAGCTTTGTGAAATTCCCTGTGGTCATAGTAGCTGCTTTTAACAACTAAATTGCTTTGTTCTTTAGTTAAAAAGTAGTGACAAAAGCTACATTGGAGTTCCTTTCCTAATATGGCTGCCATCTGGCCAAAACATGTCAGTGGCTTACAGCAGATTTCACAGTTTGAGCTACCAACCTCATTTAAAGGAGAACTATGAGGTGAATGCTTTTCACTCACCTCATAGTTCTAGCCGACCTGTGACAATGAGACCGTCACAGGTCGGCTCAGTAGATCGGGAGGTGAGCGAACACATACCGGGTTCGCTCACCTCTCGATCCTGTCACGTCTCTCCTGTGACAGGGGAGGGGCTGTATTCCCCTCTCCCATCCGCCAGCGCTGACTGGCAGAGCCAGCTGTCACTCACGCAGCTGGGCGGATCTCGACTTCGATGTCGGGATCCGCTCCGGCTGCGGCATCTCAGTATACCGCGAGCTGTAGCCCGCGGCATACTGAGCCTAGGGTGACGGGAGGACGCTAGTTTGTGTCCTCCCGTTACCCTAAGGAGAACTATGGGGAAAAACACTTACCCCATAGTTCTCATTTAAGAGTATGTTATCCCAAAATGTTACATGTATGTTTGTGTGTGTCTATGTACATCTTTGAAAAAATAGACTGTTCTCATTCTATCTAATGGTGTGTGCTGATCCTGCCCGTTCTTGTTCCGTGCTTTTGCAATATGACTACGCCAAGCACCGAAGGAGATCTGTGCTGGTGCGGTCAGTTTGCATCCCTTGGATGGCTACTAAGACTTAGTTTTGCGGTCATGTTCTGTCCCCTCAGTCCTGCTGCGTTCATGTCCCCCAGAATTGTTGCTGGAAGATATGCCTTGATCTGCATAGTTTAGGTGGCACCCCAGCCGCCCATGCCCTGCTTTAATGATTGACAGCAACTCTTGGCCGCTATGTCTGACATAATTAGTCTGCCCCCCTGCACTAGGAAGAGGGAAAGGAAGGGATACTGTGCGGTCATGTGAAAACAGTGTATATCAAGTATTTACACGTTTATTTTGAAATAAAAAAATGGCAATAAAACAGTTAAAAAGTACTATGCTGTACTTTTGCTAGTGTGACTTCACAGATACTTTACTGTATGTTAGGGCGCAAATATACAGTACATCTCTCTAATAGATGCGCATTCCCATGTTTTATCCCTTTAAAAACATTGCAAGTACAGAATTATACTTGCTGCTCTGCCACAAATTCAATGTGCTCAGTGTTGTCAGCTCTGCCTGCTGGACTACAGAACACCCCCAATCTCCCACTCCTCTCTGTCCCATGTCACAGGCAAATATTGATTTCTTTTTTTTTGCCAGAAAAACAATGCAGCTGCCTTGACTCTTTTAGAGCCAGGTGATGATATCACAGAGTAATAACATCTGTTGCTCTACAGCAGCGTTTCTCAATCTTTTTTTAATCAAGGTAACCTTAAAAAGTATGTAAAATCTCGAGGCACCACAGTCTAAAATGTCATAGATTTTAAGGGGGACCTCATGCAAGAATAGTCCAAAAAGTGTGTTTCCTCTTTCACATCGAATTGCCCTTTATAAATCATAATTCCCTGCACCCTTCACATCAGAGTCACCCTTTGCATCAGTAGCCCCCCCTTCACATTAGATCCCCTCTTTCATATCAGAGTCCCCCCTTTCACATCAGAGTTTCCCCTTTACATCAGGATTCCCCACATCAGTCTCAATTTCCCCCTTCACATCAGTTTTCATTCCCCCCTTCAAACCACAGTCCAACCACCGCAAAATTTTGAGGCACCTCTGAGGAAGTCAAATGGCACACCAGGGTGCCATGGCACCCTGGTTGAGAAAGGCATGCTCTAGAAGGGAGATGGAGGTTTAAGTCTCTCAAACGTAATTGGCTGAAGTTTGACAAAGGTGAACTACTCTTTTGGGGTCATATCACTTGGAATATGGCAGGAGTGGTGGGGAATACCGGGAGCACCAGCAATGCTCAATAATTTTATAGGGTAGTCCAGTGAGGTGGTGACCTTTATTGTAGTGGGTATTTGGCCTCATTATACAAATCCATCTTTTTATAGTTTATTTTGTGCAACATGGATGTCAAGATCATGTGTGTTTGGCTTTGTCACCTACATATGTAAAGCTGCTGAAAGAAGAGCAATTCTCATTACCCACAACAACCAATCAGAACCTCCCTTTCATTCTCTTATATTCCTCTTTATACATGAAGAGAAGGATCTGTTTGGTTGTTCAGAGTAATGAGAATCGTTCCTTGAACACATATGCAGGAAGTCTATTCTCGTCATAGCGTCTGACCCAGTCACTTAGACATTCTTACCTCTTATATACTTTTATTGTAACCTTTTATGGACGTTCCTCTCGTTTTCCATATTTCAGGATTCTCAGACAGTCATAGAAGCCTTCAAATCTGGGTTTGAGCCTCCCGGAGATGTCGACTTTGAAGACTTCACGCAGTCCATGAAACGCACTGTGTCAGACACCAGCCTTACAAACAACAGGGCTGATGCGAAGACTGATCCCAAAGTCCCAGGCAAATCCCGTGGCAAGTTATGGCCTTTCATTAAGAAAAACAAGGTACTGCTTTCCACTTATTATGTTTATTACTGATTTATATCCCTACTGTTTTTTAATTTTGTTAAATTAAATATTCTTTTTAGTTTTAATAATATTTATGGTCTGTTCTGTTGTTATTTTTTTTTTTATGTTATAAGTTAAGTTGTTGATGCATTTATTATTTTACTTACCACCTGATTAATCACCACTCATAAATTGCATGCTAACTGCTGTCACCTTAAGTCACTGTTTATACCACTGGTTATAAACAATCCGGACTGCTGTGTGAACTTTATTTCCAAACTTTGCCACTTTAAAAGAGTGCTAAAACCTCAGAAAAGTATGTGATTGCAATAGCATCTTCATCCCTGACCCGTGGTGACTCTGCCTGCTGTCAATCAGCAGAGGAGGGAACTGAAGGAGAAAGTTGTCCTTCAGGTTCTTCTCTGCTGATTGAGAGCAGGCACTGGGTGGGTGCAATAGCCAGCCTGCTATTAGCTATTGCAAATAAAAATAGCCATTAGCTGGCTGGCTATTGTTTCCAGCCGCTGATGGGAGACCTGGCGCCGGTGTTCACCGGCAGAGGAGGAGGAATGGGGCAGCAGTGGAGCTACGAGGGGGGGTGGGGGTCAGCGGGGGAATGCAGAGTCACAGAAACCTACAGAACTGACCATAGTATGTTTTTTTGGTGAGCTGGCTTAGCATTGTGGTTCAGGGGTGAAGGGATTATTGCATTCACGCTTAATGTTGATCTATTAGGTCAAATAACAGCCATTTTCTGAGCTAGACAATTAACCACTTTTTGAGATGACTAGAAGAGCCTAATGGCCTTTATATAGATGGCACATTTTGCCTTACATTGTCTCTAATCCTTGTTTCCGATTGGTTGGCTATTGATTCTGAAAGAAAATGGCTGATTCTACTGTTTGTAAGCGGCCTTCTTTAATTGTGGAAAGCATTACTGCCTAATAATGTAAAAAATAAATTCATTTTGAAATACGTTATTCATTGGTCAGTTACAAGAGAACTATGGGGTAACCTTTTTATCCCATAGTTCGCTTTCGGGTCACGGGAGAACATATACTGACGTCCTCCCATGACCCAAAACTCTGTATAGCACGCTATATGCTGAGAGCACCTCAGCCGGGACGGAGCCCGACAATACTGTCATGATCCACCCCACTGGCTGATTGACAGCGTACTCTGCCTATCTAGTCAGCGCTTGAGGATTGGAGAGGGAATGGTGGGGGGGGATTCCCTGCGGGGGGGGGGTGATAATTGTAAGTGACCCTTCTCAGTAGGGAGATGTTCAGGAAGTGAGCGGATCTGCGGTATGTTTTTGCTCACTTACCGATCAATGGAGCCGATGTGTGACAGTTTAAATGTCACACATCGGCTCTAACTATGAGGATGAGTGTAATTCATTCACTCCATACCAGTAGTTCTCCTTCAAATGTAACTTTGCAATGCATTTCTGTTATAGTTAACCTCTCCGTTATCCGCAGAACCAACTTTTTTCCTTAGAAACAGCCATAAAGAGTCAGTCTAAATTTCTGTTCTACATCAGACTTCCTTTTAACTCCCTCACCCTGCAAGCAAAACCGCATCCTCCCTGCTACATACTACCTCTTTCAGTGAAGTCGCACAGATTACAGCCCAACCACAGATCAAGCTAGAACCATTGTCAGGTTGTCTGTAAACCTCGTGGAGAAATTCACCCTCATCTCCTGTCCCTATGACAATGTAAAAAAAGAATAAGAGGTAGTAGGTAGATGTGTAAACGGAACAGGAAGACACCAACTGCAATAAAAACTTGACAATTTTTATTCCTTTACTTTCCTGCTCTCTCCAAAACAAAAAAAAATATGTAGGCTCTCTCATAAAATCTCTCTACCACATGGCTAACCAGTAGTGGTGGCACTGCCAGGTTACCGTACTCCATTCACTATGACAATGGTGGATGCCTATGATGTCGGTTGTAAGGATCTAAGGCTGCCAAATAAGAGCTAAATCCACCTTTGATCCATACCCCTGTTCCATACCTTATCAACAGGGACAGTGAGCAAAAGACCATTGTGGACCATGCAGGCCAGGCAGTGCCATCACTGCTGGCACACATTAAGTAAAATGTGAAGTAACAAGTTGTTTCCGGAAAAGCCCACCTATGTTTAACTTGCGAGAGTCTTTGAAAAGTGGACTTTACCTAAAAGCTTGCTGATATATCCTCTCCATTCATCCCCTGCCTGACATCACACCATTATTTATATTCTGCTGAATAAGACACATTTCATACAGCAGGAATTGTCTAAAACAGACACCGTAGGGCCAGCTTTCTCTATGGAAAAAAGTAGGACGAAAGATAATGGTTTTGACTGACTTAAAGGAGAACTATGGGGTTAAGGCTTTTCCCCATAGTTCTCCTTAGGGTAACGGGAGGACACAAACTAGCGGTATACTGAGACGCTGCTGCTGGCGGTATACTGAGACACCGAAGCTGAAGCGGATCCCGACAATTATGCCGGGATCCGCCCAGCTGCGTGAGTGACAGCTGGCTTTGCCTATCTAGAGGCAGAGCCAGCTGTACCCGCCCCCTCCCCGTCCGTTCCGCCAGTCAGCGCTGGCGGATCGGAGCGGGGAATCTAGCCCCTCCCCTGTCACGGCAGAGAGCCGTGACAGGCTCGAGAGGTAAACGAACGCCGGTATGTGTTCGCTCACTTCCTGATCTACTGAGCCGATCTGTGACAGTCTCATTGTCACAGGTCGGCTAGAACTATGAGGTGAGTGAAAAGCACTCACCTCATAGTTCTCCTTTAAGTAATAGAAGCTGTTCACTTAGCAAAGTTATTGTTCACTTTGCAAGGTGAATATTATTAAAAGGGGTGAACCTGTATTAACTTTAAATACCCAATCATGTGCTGTTTTCTTTCCCTGGCGTTGGGATTGAGTATACAACATGAACAAAGGTTTACCTTATTTAACAACATTCACTGATTCAACAGCCTTCTCTTCTTTAGTAAATTGACCCCAGTGTATTTGACAAGGTATAAGAATACTCATAAGTTTTGTCAGACTAATTAGCGTATTTCAAAATGGGCTGAATGTAATGCAGGTAAACTGACAGCGAGAGTTCAATGCAGGCATCTAGATGTGCCCTAAAATGTCTCTAAACCCAAGAACAAATTTGCAATATATTACAGCTTGCCAATCTTTAGTTGTGGTGGCTGCATTAGCTTTCTTTTTTCAGCCTTTTTTCCTTTGGTTTCACCTGATAATCCGGTCAGTAACACACTTCCTGTCCTAGTGTGACAACACTTGCTGTACTGTATCTATGGAGGAGCAGCATATCCGATGCAGCACAGTGCAGGTCACCACACTATGTATGAACGGGCCCTAAGTGTCTTCCAGAACAATCAAAGAGCCTTGAAAACCTGATGCTCGGATATGCAAATAGCAGTTGGCTTTTATGGTGGTTCTGTGCTGCGCATTCTTGCACAGCTCATTATGGTCCTTCGGTCATAGGTGGCCTCGCAGACCTGTAGTAGGGGCCACCAGAAAACTTAACTTGGAGGAGGGAAGATGAACATCCCCAGGGTTCGGGAATTCCAGGAAGCTCTAAGAACATTACTAGAGTATTACACACATTTAACTTCTGCTGTCAGCTTACTCAATTTAATACCAGTAAAGAATCACCTTATGAATCTCTCTGGATTACCATTTTGCTTGTTCATATTTTCTCTCAACCTTGGTTCTTTATTTACCACGGTGCATGCTGGGTCTCATAATCATCTTGTCTTCTGGTCTGCAGCTCTACAAAGATTTTAGGTAATGTAACCGTGTTTGGTCAAGAGCCAAAACAGGGACTGTCCACCCAGATTTATAAACAAGTCTGCTCCTTTCTCCTGCAGACTAACACATTGAATTCCATATATATAACTTGTTAGTGTCGTTGTTCTAATTGTAACACATACAGCTTAACAACACCATAGAGGACCTGTGCTTAAAGAAAAACTCCAGGCACAAATTTCATTAACCCTTGCAAGGGTCAACTGCTCGTTTTCGTCTTAAGTTTAAAAAAAAAGTTATACTCACCTGATCCAGCTGGCTCTTGGAGCGGTCCCTTTTGCCTCCACTGCAGAAGTCTAAGATCCGTGAGTCATCACGTTTTACACACTGTATATTGAACGTGAGGACGTCAAGGGCTATACCATCGCTGCAGCGTAGGATGAGACGGACAGGAAGTATAACTTTTTTTTTTATTTTAACCTAGTCAGAAACGAGCAGTTAACAGTTGTAGTGTGGAGGTAGCCCCACTGCAAGGGTTAGGAAAATTTGTACCCGGGGTAGTGCTTTAAGGGTTTGGTACACTTTAACCGTCTTGTCCTTGTGCAGTTAATAGAGTTCTTGTGACTTGGCTACATAGGCATTTGCCCACCGTTCTTGCCAAGCGTTGGTGTGTTAACGTTTAGCTGAGAAGTGTCTATGCATGCCCTCCATTACTGGGAATCAGTCATCAGCCATTGTCAGCGCTATCAAATATTTGTATGTAGGTCCACAGGTTTCAGACTGCATTGGGTGATTTGTGGGAGCTGCGCTCTCCTGTTCCCCCCTCTTTCGGTTTCTCGCAAAGCTGGTGAATGCTGCTTGTAGTTTGCATGGCTTCTTCCACCCTCAGTTGGTTCATCAGGGATTTCTAAACTGTGTTTTGCACTCGTCTTCTAACATTCTCAAGCTTCTTTCTTTCCAAACCATGGCCGCAATTCATGGATTCCATCTTTCATTATTTTATTTTCAAAGTTTTTGTTGTGTTTATACCATTGGTTCAGAATAAATATTGTTTAATCCTCATTTCGATTTTGTGTTTTTGTTTTTTTTTTTGTTTTTTTTTCTCCTCCTTGTATCTTTTGATTTGGTTTATATTCTATCACTGCTCCTTCTCTTATACATAAATTATGTCCCTCTTAACGTCCCCCCATCAGCCCCCTCCTCCTCCCCCTGCCTCTG